AATAGCTCTCAATTATCAGATAATGTTCTCAAGTGAAGGAAACTACACTTAACTCACACCATGAATTATAGTTACACATTACCAATATTGGACTATTGAGCTTGCACATCAACCAACCAAGCCATATAAGCCAACTTCTCTCATTGTGATGAGATCCATGATGCAAGTCCTTTATCGTTGACGTGCCTAGGTGCCCCACAAAGATTAAAAAGTCTTTCATAATGTGATTCCCAATAAAGGAAATGATGACTTCATACAAAGGAAAGTAGCACTATAATCTAACTCCCTCAATTATGATGAAATAGTATGCAAGCAAGATGTGATTAGAGAAATTAACAAGCACCATGAATGTATACAAGCACTTGATGGCTATAAAGGCAACAATGTATTTATGAAGAACTACCTTGGTAATTTATGAGTGATTGCGGTAGAGATAAGGGATATCAAAGGGAATTTAATATAGAACTTGAACCCATGTAATCCCAACTGGGGGATTAATAGAGAATAAGAGATGCAAAAATATTAAAGCATAAATTAAATTTGTATTAAATGTGTAGATCTCATCCATACCCATTTCATTATTACCTGTGATTTTGGTGGCTCCCTACTCATTCGCTCTGACAAGTAGTCATCAATATTGACCTAGCACATACATATGGGTTGCTCACAATACACATCTTCGGGAGTACCATTCATAATGAAGCTAATAAATAGCCTGAAGTTGCCATTCCATGAATAAGTAATGAACTCGTCGCCATAATAGTAATTAACTCGCCATAGAGAAGTGAAAAATTAAAGTTATTAAAATTTCTTTTAAGTGTTTTGCTTTCTATTTAGAATACACCCATTGACTCATTGTCATAATTAGAGAACTAGCTATGATGTTATAAAATAAGGTACTCATCAAAATATATTAAACATTATACTCTTTGAAATGTCATAAATAAAGTACTTGCATTAAAAAGAGAAAAAATATAATTAAAGCAAAGCATTCACCTGAATACAAAAATTTTATTGATATAACATCATACTCAACACACATAAAAAACATTACAATGAAACGAAAAGAGATGTGAGACTACTTTCCATCAGAAGAAATCCTACATACTAGGTCCCTCGCTATCTCAAATGACAGAAAACTCTCTAAAACCACTAGGAAGATCCATCCTCCCTCTATAAACAAACTCCCCTTCATAAGGTTATGAGTCTACACCACCTCAACCTTCAGAGCCATGAGGTTCTTCTTGAATGGGAACTCATCACAAGAGCAACACCTCTCAAGGCATTGTTTACCTCACCCATTATCCACAATAGGTTTATCATTTTTTTAAGAATGCCATCTCGCCATTGCTCACATTTCCAAGTTAATTGGCCCCTTAGAAGGGATGTTATCGTGAGAAGGGATGTCATTGCCAGAAGGGCCCATAGATAATGAGTATAGAGGCTTCCCAAGCACCACCTTTCCCTGAAAAAAAAAGCACCACCTTTCCCTGAGGGTTGGGATCCTTCTACTCCTCGGTGGGTGCCCCCTTTTCTGAACAATTGACTCTTCAATATACTTGACCACTATAGTATGATCCACTGCTATTGAGTGCTTTACATCTTAAGCTTTGCATGAATGAAGCACCCCTATGATCAAAATGAGGAATCAACAAAAAAAAAAGTCTTTATCAAACAAACTTGGAGGAACCTTAAGAAGCCTATCATCCAATATGGTCATCTTTGTATATATATATATATAGCCTAGGCACCCACTATGTCAAATCTAGGGCCTCAAACTCACTTGGTAGATGCTCCATTATCTAGCTTGAGGAGATTCAAATCACATGCTCATTCTCAAAAGACCCATGTTCACATGATAAAACTCACTTCAAATATCTAAGATAGTTTTTGCCTCTTACCTTCACTTGTTAAAGGGGCCTGCTTAGCTCTAAGGAAGGCTGCCATGACCTCAATAGAACCCCACATCTTTAGTGTGTGTAGCCTTAACTGGGAGCATCAAGGGAGCTCTCCAAATCATCCTCAAATTCAATGATAGGTCCTCAGAGTCATAGGATAGGTCCATAATCAAAGGCCTTACCGCATCCCCAGGTTTCTTAGATAACAAAGTTGTAGTTAAATTCGACACAAATGCTCAAATTTTCACTCTCTTCGTAAGGGGAGAGATAATAGGTTCAATAGACCATTACATGTTTTTGACACATCCTTTGGCCTTTGTCCTCAAAGAGGATTTGCTCGCCCTCATTTTTGCCTTGTCATTTATTCCAAGGTGAAAGGCCACCTTCTTTATCTGTTTGATATTGGATAAGGTTAATTCAGTACGTTCCATTTCATAGCACTCACATATCTATATGGTTCTCTTCAATTACTTAAAGGAGTCAAGAATTTCAACATGGAACTACTTATAGAAGTTGACTATGGGTGGCATCACATCATAGGCATTATGCAAGAATCAACACAGCTACAAAGATTATTATAAAATAGGTAAGTAACTCTATATTAATTCTCCAATGATAATTAGGTAGTCTTTTTAATGCTCATTAGTAATTTACTTTTTCTTTTCATCACTCATCCTCTAAAGGGTCAAGTGAATCAAACAACTAAATGTATACTCGCATATATCTTCATAAGTACTTAGCAAGTAGTGGGTGAGTCATGGAAGATGAGCTTGCCCCTTGTGAACCCATATAAGAGCTCGATTAAATATTATGAAATCCAACTATGTAAAGAACTTAGTAGGGAGTCACCTCCCATATAGACAGTCAAAAATCCTCGTAGGTCATCTAGCTTGCTAATCGTCCCCAGAGGGAACTCAATGTCGATGTTGCTCGCCATCCACCATGGTACAAGGGGGAGTGAGGTCATTGATCTCACTCGCCACTTCAACTATAGGGAAGGAACTTAATTAAGAGACCCTTTAATCACCTTATCATAGTTAACCCGTTATGCAACTTATCCAACCCACAACCCAAGTTCACTCACGTCTCTTTTCAAGGTGACAAAGCTCTAGCACGAGCCACTAATAACTACAGGGAACCAAATGGCCTCGACTTTCTCTATCTAAGACTTGTCAGCATACTCACTTGCAACTACTCACCTATACACACTCAACAATACTAAGCTAACCTAAAGGCAAACAAGTCAAGTTCAAGGCAACCTCCCCCACAAACAGCCAAAGTGTGACACATGTCTAAGACATTCTATAGAGCATTTGAGTTTATATATTTTTTATTCATTTATAAATATAGCCATTCTTTCTTTCTCTTTCTCTCATATTCCTATGAATAAATGGTGAAAAGGATCACTTCAAATTTCTTTCACAACTTCAATACCTATTAGCACTAGTGCTATAGATATTTAAGCAAGTGAACTATTCTCTCTCTTACATAAATTTCATATTCTAAGAGCTTGCTTGCTAATAAAGTCAGGCATCACCCATAAAAAAAAATGGATCTAACAAACTAGTGAGCAATTTCTCTCTCTCTCTCTCTCTCTAAGAGTTAGCTTGTTAGTAAATTCAACTATCATCCACAACTAAATTTGGATCCAACAACTAGAAAGCAATTTCTGTGACTATTTGTTTAATGCTAACACACAACATAGACAATGGTTTGTCTAATGAGGTAATTATGACTCTATTTGTTTAATGCCGACACACAAGGTAGATACAATGGTTTCTTACTAGCTTCATGAATAGGATGGGGATGGAGGATGGAATGTGTAATGCTTGAGATAAGTTGCTGAGAATTGTTCTTTCACAATAAATATGTGAACTTTTTGTCTAATGAGGTGATGGTGACTCTATTTGTTTGATGCCAGCACATAAGATACATACAATGGTTTGTGTCTAATGAGGTAATGGTGACTCTATTTGTTTAATGCTGACACACAGGATAGACAGAATTGTTTCTCACTAGCTTCATAAATAGGCTGAGCGATAGAGGATGGAATGTGCATTATTTGAGATGTCACTGTGAATTCTTAATTCAGATTAATGCATCAGTTGTGTCATAAACAATTTGACTGGATGAGTTATTCTTAAATTATTTTATAATCAAAACTTTATCCGTTTAAATTTAGATAAACCCTTTGACCTCTAGCCACTAAGCCAACAGTACAAAATTACTAGATCTTTTCGAGTGATCAAACTGCGAAGAAATTATAAACTAAAACTCGGTGCAACTGCACTGCAGATTACATAAATATTGTGTTTCTGGTCATCTAGACTAAACAAGCATTTCAAAAGGGATAGAAACTAGTAGCCATAGTTTGAAAATTCCCCAATTAACACGGTGAGTTACATCCAGACGACCATTTTCATCTTTGATGTGTACAGTTAGAACCATTGTAATAAATAATATGGGGGAGGCGACCATCAGCTTTGGCATGTTTGATCTCATGGCAATAGAACAAACATGTAAGGATTATCTAATTAGTAGCTATAGGAGCATTCGAAGACTTTCTGTAATGATCTGCTTTGCTGGGCAGAGAGGCATAGAGAAAATATATAAAGCATAACAAACAAGCTGTGATGACAAGCAGTAACAGGTGCAATCAAAGAATATTTTTTCCGTATGGACTATCTTCCTCGGCAGGATTTCCAAGATAAAACTTGTCGTATTAGCTACGTAAACAAAATAGCAGATCAGAGTTTTCATTTTAATTTAAAAGGTTTGTCAAATAAGTACTTTCACATCATAAATGAGAATCATACAAGATGTGCATAACTAATTAGCTTAAGGGGGATGCAAGCATAGCATCTATTATGGCCAGAAAAAGTTGGGTGCTTCATCCAAAATAAGAGAGAGAATTGAATTAACATTAAAAGTAGAATGATAATTCTTTTCTTTTCGAATAAGTAGAAAAAACATCCCTCTTTCTATATATAATAATTTGAAAAAACTCTTAATTATCAAAACGGAGGTAAAACTGAAATTCTCCAGAAAATGAAGGAACTTGCCAAGGAAACAGCTTCATCCAAGGTAGTAAGTCAAGCCATGAGTAAATAAGAAGGAAATTTATTCCTGAAGCAATGGTCAACCAGTTGAAGTAAATACCATAAATGACCCAGCGAATCAGTCAGTTTGCATATCAAGTAAATCAAACAGTATTGCCTAAGCACAGACATGGATGGCCATAAATAATACATTGATATTGCAGACTCGAGAAGCTATTAAATAAAGCCCAGCTTCTGTACATTCACCATCCAGATACAACTGCCGAATTCAAACCTTGCCAGCAAACACAATGGACTTGCAGAATAGTCATAATATTAATCTACAATGCAGTTGCACCGATTTCTTCGTAGCTTAATCTTGAAAAATAGTTGAAAGATTTACCTTGATTGCTTCTATATCACAACCCACAAAGCAGTAGTGGGGTAGAACATATACAGTCAAAAATATCATCCAGAAAATTTATTTACACTGTTTTAAATAAACTTATACTTCTCCTGTAGGGCCAACTGGGAGCATACACATTGACTTAACAGGATGATATGAAGCTTGACTGTATTTCGAACATTGCGGATTCCAGAAGCACTGCTGCTTGCTGGAAATAAGATCATTTCAGCTCTCAAACAACCTGAACATTGCGACAAAATTATCAGGAGCATAACCAATTCTTTTTTGGTTTTTTATTAGTCAAAGATCAGGCTGATGATGCCGTCCCCAGTCAGATTGCTCTTGTAACAGGCAGCCCTTGATATACAGCTCCAGGTTGAAGATCATCCAACGTATCTGCAGTTCTCAACGAGTTGATCTCTCTAAGGCTAGTCCAGCAGCGCCGGGTTAGAAATTCATTGAAATCTTCTTGCGTGTAGAGTGTCTTTTCTTCTGTACGGACTGATAACCGATTGCTGTCATCATACACACAGAATTTGACAGTCACTCCTAAACAATGACAGCAGTCAGAAAAAGTTCCAGGAAAATCTATGGATGATGCAATAAGAGTACATTTTACATGCATAACTGACTATATGTTGCCTTTCAATAGTTGATGCTAACAATTTTTCTCTGTTCTAACATCAACTTCTTTTGTTCCCTTAAATAGATTCAAACGCACCGAGATGACTCCCCAGTAGAAATTAAGTCATTATTAAGAAAGAAAATTTAGCACACCAAGAATGATTGTGGAAATCTTTTAGTAATCTTTTTAGAAGTTGTTTGATAGAAAGTATATAGAATTTAAATGATTTGTACATGCAGTTCAAGGTAAAATCAATGTTTTCGAAATTGTTTGGTTGTAAACTAAATACAGGAGATCTTTTTTTTGTACTTGATTAGCTAAAACTAAAATGTATACTCTAAGCCAGAGATGGTGGCCAAGATAAGATGTGAACAATGGGGACAACAATGGTTTACGGGCTCAAGGCTGGTGTCTAGTGTGAATGGTGACATCAGGGGATAACAAGATCGGGGATGGCGAAGTTGATATCATGTGTGCAACATGCGAGGATAAGACCACTAGGAATTAGGCTAGTGCTGGATGATAGGGACAACGAAGTCACAACTGTCATCAAGTGTGAGGATGGCAAGGTCACAGGTAGGGATGCCTATGGGGATGTTGCGGGTCACAAGCTTGCGTCATGTGGGGATCAACTCTGATAGAGGAAAGGGCGTTGCGTGCAAGAACAGCTGTGGTTTTCAAGGCTGTTTCATTTGCGGGTACAGCTGGGGTAGCAAGTTATAATTGCGTGCGGGGATGAATGAGGTCGAGATCCTGTATTTGGAATTCACCAAGTAAAGATGATTCCCAATTCTTCAAATTCTCTAAAAAAAATATAAACCCTGCTTTTTGAATGCGATACACTTTCAATACATTCAATTAACCAAGCTCTTCGAATTCTATCTACATATCTTTGGCGATATGGAAGATGGGTCAAGTCAAACTGGCCAGCCCCTTCTTAGAGCCATGAACAAGCATAGATAACTTAGTAATCTTGTAGGTATACCCAAGAGTGGACAACTTCTAGGGTTGGGTCATAATATTTTATAGGGCTCAAATATTCCTTGAAAGGAAAATAAGATTGTGCCAAATTTGCTAAAATCAATGAAATGGTTCAAAACCTTTGCCAGGACCAAGTTATTGGTTGAGTAACACAGATTAGTCTGGCAAGAAGTCTACTACAAAAACATTAGTAGACAAACAAAAAAGTAACTATGAATGCAACTACATCCAACATCAATAAGGCCTCAATTTAAAACTTCTCATTGCTTTTTGAAAATTAAAATAGAATTTGGATGTTTTGGTGTGACACGTCTCCTTAACATTTGTTAATATTATTAGGGCATTCCAACGAAGTAACTTGCTAAGAAGTTCAAAAACAATTGATGGTTGATTGGAAATACAATAACAACATCAGGCCTTTATCCCACTACGTGGGGTCCACTACATGAATCTTTTTTCTCTATTGTGTTCTATTAAGAGTCAAATTTTCATTTAAATTTAATATAGAAAGGTTAGGTCTCCCTCTATATTTCTTAACATAGGCCAACAACAACAACATCAAGTCTTTATCCAACTACGTGGGGTCAACTACATGAATCCTTTTTCTCCATTGTGTCCTATTAAAAGTCAAATTCTCGTTTAAATGTAATAAAGAAAGATCATTCCTAATATTTTCTAACCAAGTCTTTTTAGGTCTACCCCTACCTTTCTTAACATAAGTCAAATCAAATACATCTCGGAAGGCTGCCGTTTTATGTGACCAAGCCATCTAAGGAGACTCTCTATAATCTTATCTTCTACTGGAGCTACTCCAACCTTTTCATGTATATGCTCATTTCGTATCTTATCTCTAAGGGTAAAGCCACACATCCACCTGAGCATCCTCATCTCTGCCACAATTAACTTAGTATTATGCTTCTCTTTTAATGGCCAACATTCGGCACCATAAAGCATTGTAGGCCTCACTAACATCTTATAGAATTTTCCCTTAAATTTGAGAGGTATATTTCTATCACATAACAAGCCTGATGCATTCCTCCACTTCAACCATCCAACTTGAATTCTGCTGATAATATCCCCATCTATTTCACCATCACTCTGAACAATAGATCCAAGATATCTAAAATGTGTACTCTTATTAATGACTTGATCGCCCAAAATCACAATCCCCTCACTAGGTCTATTACTACTAAAATTACACTCCACATATTCCGTTTTAGATCTACTCAAGCGAAAACCTTTAGACTCTAAGGTTGACCTCCATAATTCAAATTTACCTTCAACTCCCTCTCTAGTCTTATCAACAAGAAGAATATCATCAGCAAAAAGCATACACCAAGGTACATCCTCTTGCAAATGTCTAACATAGGCCAAATCTAATAAAACTAATCTCCTAATAGGGTCGTCGGAAGGCCGCCATTATACATGACCAAACCATCTAAGACGACTCTCTCTAACTTATATGTCACTGGAGCTACTCCAATCTTTTGACATATATGCTCATTTCATATCCTGTCTCTAAGAGTAAATCCACTCATCCACCTGAGCATCCTCATCTCAACAACACTTAACTAAATATTATGTTTTTCTTTTAATGGCCAACATTATGTGCCATAAATCATTGCAGGTCTCACCATTATCTTAGAAACTTTTCCCTTAAGTTTGAGTGATACTTTTCTATCACACAACAAACCTGAGGCATTCCTCCACTTCAACCATCCAACTTGAATTATATTACTAATATCTTCGTATATTTCACCACCACTCTAAAGAACACACCCAAGATATCTAAAACGAGTACGTTTATTAATGACTTGATCGCTCAAAGTCACAAACCCCCCACTAGATCTATCACTACTAAAATTACAATCCATAAATTTTGTTTTAGATCTACTCAAATGAAAACCTTTAGACTCAAAGGTTGACCTCCATAATTCGAGTTTACCTTCAACTCCCTCTCTAGTCTAATCAACAAGAAGAATATCATTAGCAAAAAGCATACACCGGGGTACATTCTCTTGCAAATGTCTAGTAAGAACATCCATGACTACAACAAAAAAAAGGGTGGGTTTAAGGCTTGTAATGCCCAAGAATCTAATTTGGAAGATTTATTCTTTTAATCTTTTACTAAATAAAAATCAGAGCTACCTAATTTCTTTTAACTATCGATCAACATCAATATATACATCTATATTCATTTTCTAAAAATCATATAAACTACTCAGGATTTATACAATCATATCACAAGTATTCTATCATGAGTACAAAAGAATTACTGAAACAAAAATAAATGGAACAAGACAAATCCTGACCAACCTCATACTCCTAGTCCTCTGCCCTGACCATAAATCATTTAACCACAAATAATGAGATAAAAACCTAACAGGTCATCAAAACCTATAATAAAATTCAAAGCACGGTAAAGGAGCAAAATATATGTCAGGAATCAAATCACAGCAGTAGCATTCATGTCATTGAATCAGAATACAAATAATAAAATTTATATGCAGTAGTAGAATCTATAAGCAATAAAACACTACGGTATGAAAGCCAAGAAAGCAGTAAACCATAAGAGTAACCAATCTATATAGAAATCGCAAAAAAACATCGAATCAAAATATCAGTAAAGACTGTTGAAATCAAATAAATGTAGTGAAATAATATAAGAATATACACATACTATCCAATTATTCTATATCAATATTAAATCTATATCTTAATAACATAATCACTATATCATTCACATCACATGCTTAATGAATATATCATGATTTTTATATTAATAAATTAATAATAGTATTAATAATAAATCCATACAATAACATGATTAATGTCTAAATAACGTTCATTTAAGTAAAAGTAAGAATTCTGGCTATCACGGTGTTTTTCATTATTGTATCAGTGCCAATAAACTGTTGGCTCAGTAAATATGATCGTCATTCTTTCTTCGTCGCTATAGTAATCATCTCCTTATAACTCTTAATCAGTGTATCACATGAATTAGTATAGGATAATACCAAACAATATTATTTAAAAAAAAGACCGTTGGTCCACCATCCTTTATAGGTCAACCAATCTCCAAACAACGGGTTAACCAGTCTTTACTTATCTTTTAAAGACATTATTCTCATAGTATTATAACAGTAATAGCGACTAGCTATTACTAAATCACATATTCACATTTATTTTAAAAGCATTGCAATAAATCAATCATATTTGAGCTTAATTTAAAAAGTGTCAAAATGTCCTAACGATAGACTATAAATATTATACTGAGCAAAAAATTCACATTTTCAAAATTTAACTAAATTATCAAAATTATATAAAATAATATTATGAAGCTTTAGTTGAACTAAGTAACTATTGTTAGATGTCAAAATAAATTTTTAAGTATGCAAAAATTATTGTATTTTCAAAATCACAAAGTAAAAAATATCAAATAAATACTCAAAAAGCTAATAATCTCAATCTTTATAACATATAAAAAGTTACACGGTAAAAAATTTATCAATATAAAATTATTATCATTTTTTGATAACAGAAATACAAATTTGATTAAAAAAATAAAAACACAAAATATTTGAAATAAACCCTATAGTGAGGCGAGCAAATTTTTAACTAACAAGACGAATGAAAATTGCTCTGCAACCTCAAAATCCAAGCTTTAATTTTCTCTCCTCTTATTTTCTCTAAATTTTTAATATAGGTTTTTGTTATGCGAAATTAAGAAGAAAAAGAGGCTTTAAATAAAAATAGAGAATTAAGATATTTATAAATAAATAATAATATAATATTGATATAATTATATAATATATTCATTTTTATAAAAAAATCATATAAATCTTTTTGGGCTTTAAAAATTTTTTATTTAAAAAATATTAATGAAATCGGTTTGTAAAACAAACACCT